ATTAATATTAGAAGATGCCCGACTAAAGAAAAAACAGCTCGCAGAAATGGTTGGAGTATCAGATACAACCATTTTCAAAATTCTTCATGACCATCTTGGCATGACTAAAGTCAGCGCAAGATGGGTGCCTAGAATGCTCACGCCGTCTCAATCAAAAGCAACTGCGCGTGGAGTGTTCTCTTGCATTTTTGAACCTCTGTATGGAAAACAAAGATGAAGTGTTGGCTTGAATTGTTACTGGTGACGAAACTTGGGTTCACCATTATGAACATGAGTCCAAACAGGACTCTATGCAGTGATTGCAGTGGTTTTTGTGCCACTGCAATCTGGCAATGGTACACCACCACCCAAGAAATTTAAGGTGGCACGGCACAATCGGCTGGGAAAATCATGGCGACAGTCTTTTAGGACTCATTTAATTATAAAGGTGTCTCCATAACCGGAAATTACTACGCTTCAATCCTAGAACAATTGAAGGAAGCCATAAAGGAGAAAAGAAGGGGAAAATTGACCAAAGGAATCCTTCTTCTGCACGACAACGCGCCTGTTCACAAGTGCCATGTTGGGATGGCTGCCCTGCAGAAGGTGGGCTTCGAAATTTTGCCACACCTACCCTATAGACCTGACCTGGCCCCAGTGATTATTATCTATTTACAAACTTAAAAAAAGAACTTTTTTAAGTGAAAGTGCAAGTTTTTAAGTGATGAAGAAGTGAAGGAAGCAGTTTCGGCGTATTTTTTAGACAAAGACAAATCTGTTTTTTTGAGGGTATACATTAACGAAGTATTCATACGGATCCCTAAATTTTTTGAAAAAACATTCTTTCCTATTTATAATATATATATATATATATATATATATATATATATATATATATATATATATATATAGTGTAGATGTGGATAGACTGTACTTTGGGTGTATCCTTAAAATTAATATTTTGTGGGGCAATGTATACCTTTACTCAAAAACATATTTGGCAGAAAAAACGTGATGTTCCTGAGGCGAGATGACAACTCTTACATGAAATGGGAATCAGTAGGAGTAATGATCCCGGTAGTCAAGTTTATGTTGATATGTGATGATGATCACTATATTCTTTGAGGAATGACCAGTTGTTATAATTTACTAAGTTCAGCTGCTCGAAACAAGTATGTCATACGCTTGCACTTTCTCCATGAGTGTTGTACGCCTCAATTGAATAGCTCGTGGGGAAAATAACTTGTGATTATTTTTGAATCTTTCTCCGTTCTCTCCGACATAATCTGAGCCTTGTCTAGTTGGATTACGGAGCAAAGCGAAGCGAAATCACAACGATAACCTTAAAACTTATTGCCATCAAGTCCCTTGTATACAATGATATAACCAATATTATTCTAAGGTAGACTATTGAAGAATATTTGAAGTGGCAATTATTCTGTATAAAATTTTGTTTTCCTAGGTCTCCATTCACCGTTTACCATTTACTTTCTCTAATTTTTATTAATACCAGTCGTTACCAGCTCCGAGGCTACCATATTCGTAATGCTTATGACTATTTTATTAACTAATAATTGAAAGAGGTTTAGCAAGAATTTGACTGATGGCGGATTGCTGCTCCAGTATTATTTTATAAATAATGATTTTAAGTAGATTTTGTTAAAGTAGTTCGATTTTGAGTATTAATATCTAAGCATGTGAACTGTTAGTGAAAACGTTAGTTAATTGAAAGATCCGAAAAATGTATTAGGGTAGCAGGTGAATATATTGAAAAGGAAAAATAAATTTGGATTTTTATTTCCACTCCTTACCCCCACAAATACCACAAACTGTTTATATTAAAATAAAAAATAAATAAAGATTTTAACTATTAAATATAAAAATATATTAAAATAAAAATATTTAAAAAAATATATTAATACTTTCTACTTTTCTTTTATAATAAATTGTTTAAAAAAAATCCGAAGTCTTGTGTTAACACATATGGCACATTCAAATGCCACATCTAGTTTTTCCTAAAACATCGAATGATCATGGAGTCAAAGAAAGCTCCGTTTATCTGCTCGAGGGTGCTAGTTTCTTTACCAATCTAACAATTCAACCGAATTTGAACTTTATGCAGTATGGCAAACTTTAGTTCCTTATTTCGCCACCGGCAAAACAGATAACTAGAATCCACAACTGCGGGCGTCTTAGAAATGGACACATTGCACCTATTGCGTATTTACATTGAAATATTGAAAATATTGCACTTTATCCTCATTTTGATATATTAAAACTGTGAATGATGAACTATTACACATATTTTAACACAAAACTGACAGTAAACACTAAAATTTTACATACATTTCAAGTCAACTTTCCGCAACCTGCATGTTAGTTCTAAGATAGCGGTTTGCCTCATACAAATTAAAAAAACATTTCACACTTACAAAATGAGATGAAACACAAAATGAGGTTACAAATAGGAAGGTTAGTTACCCAGGCGTTGTTTTAACATAATTGGCCACACAATCAATCAAGATTTGTACGAAATAATTGCAAACAACTCCGATGTTAGCGCGCGTCAATCACACTGATGGCTGACTCAAGGGACAGACGAAATCAACACATGATATAAATATAAAATCCTACGTGTAAGCTGTGAGGTTTTTATGCTATCCTTTTTTATCCTAGATACATCGACATATGGTAGAATGAGTTAGAAATAGTGCTTAATGCTTTGTTTCGTTATTAAAAAATCGAGTAAAAAATGTCTAACACTTGGACACCCGCAGTCAACGGAGATATTTTCGTGTCCAAGTGTTAGACATCCGCAGTTGAGAGATTAACGGGTTCTAAAATCTATAGTCTAGTTATGTTGTGTTTTTTCCCTTGTCTCTGACCCTACGTCCCAGTCTACCTGTAACGTTATCGCACAAGTACATTGAACTAGACTATAAACCAAAACATTTTTCTGTTTTTGATGTAGAGGCACTTATTAGCACAAACCAATCAAAATGCGACATAAACATGACCCACAACGCGAAGACTCCTTGACCTAATTTTCTAAAGTATAAGGCTAATATGTATTAAGTAGGGACGTCATTTTCATAGAATGACAAACGAGCACACAATCTACCTCATAGTAAGTGGATGCTGTAGCCCAAAGACATCTACACCTATCCTCAATTAAAAATCAAAATGAAGATGCGATGTCTTTTGTCTGATGATTGTCTCTGTGTCTCTAATACTGCGCCCCATTCTACTTGTGATCTTATCGCATTTAATAGTTACGAGGGCGGCACTGAAAATTTCGGGAATCAAGGAAGTGACACAACATTACTATTTAAAAATGTATTTATTGCTTTTCGAAGTATTCTCCGCGAAATTTAACACATTTTTCCATACGATGGAACCAATCATTGAAGCAACCATTCCATTCGGAAGTTGGGGTCTCCAAAATGGCCGTTTTGTAGGCGTCCACAGCTTCTTCAGGTGATGAAAATCTCTGTCCACGCAATTTATTCTTTATTTTAGGGAAAGTATAGAAATCATTAGGGCTTAGGTCGGGGCTGTACGGCGGATGATCTAATAATTCTATGTTTTCTTGCTCTAAAAACTCTTTTGCTCTGTGTGCGGTGTGAGAACTCGCATTGTCGTGATGGAGGATGATACGGCGGTTGCAGTTCTCTTTACGGAGTTCAGAAAAGACCTGTGGCAAACAAATGCTAGCATACCATTCTGCATTAACTGTTCTTTGTCCCTCAAGAGGGATAGTCGTAACATGGCCGGTTTTGGAGACAAACGTGGCCACCATTTTTTTTTGCAACACTCCGTGAACGAACAATTTTTATTGGCTTTAACTCATTTTCGAACACCCAAACTCGTGACTGGTTTTTTTTTTCGGGTTCGTACGCGTATATCCAGGATTCGTCACCTGATACGATGTTGTATACAGCATTTGAGGATCCCGCATGGAATCTTTCGAGAGTTCTGACGCACCAAGTAACGCGAGCTGCTTTTTGCTCTTCACAGAGCGAATGCGGTATCCATCGGGAAAACAAATTTTTTACACCTAATTGTCCATGCAAGATTATTTGTATTTAACTCATGCCAATGTCTAAAGTTGCCTGAATTTCGCGGTATGTCACATGTCGATCTTCCTCAATTAGCTTACGCACAGCATCAACGTTTTCTTGGGCGACTGCAGTTTTTGGGCGACCTTGACGGGGATCATCACTGAGCTTGACACGTCCACGTTGAAATTCAACAAACCAGCGATACATTGTGGTTTTGGATGGGGCTTCATCACCAAATGCAGAAATCATTCGGTCAACACACTGTTTTTGTGTTAAACCACTTCGAAAGTCATAATAAATCATCGCTCTTGAATTTTCTCGAGTCAATTCCATTTTCACAACGACTAAACAAGTTTGACAAAACCTTGTGACAAGACCGAGAATCTTTTTTAAAATAAATAAATGGTATTCGATTTTTAAAACCAAGGAGTTTTCAATTAAAAAGATTTTAATATGACAGGAACAGTGGAAATATTCCATTCCCGATACTTTTAGTGCAGCCTATGTATTTGTCGATGAACGTTACATCGACGGGTAGCGTATAAAAATAGCGCTCAGAAAAAGCTGAAATCAATTATGAATAATTAAAAATTCAAGTAAATGTAAAAGAAATACCAAGGTTCAGAAATTGTTCTTACAGCCTGACAAGAACACTTTTTTTTTCATTTGTGGTAACTTCATAAAGTTTATAAATCGTTGAATTTTCGAATGTGACAAAAACAATTGCTGTTTTTGAAATCAAAAATATATACCTGCGAGCAGAATATTTATTTTGCAAGTGCAGCTTCGTTGATATTTTTGTTTTACTTTTACAAGATTTTGTAAGATGTTAATTTATCAGTAAAATATTACAATTTTCATTGTATAAAGTAAAGGTATAAATAAAATCTTGATATTATACATACTTAATTGTTTTCTTTTTTATTAAAACTACTACATTTTAGTGTTTTAATTTTGTAGGGTGCTCGGTCCGACTGCGGTGCTCCAGCTGGCGGATCGCGACGAGCCCCCACCTGCCAATGCCCGACCTCTTTATTCGTTGGCTATGCGCGGCGCTGTTATATGTTTTTCGGGGTTTCGAAAAAAAGATGAGCTGGTAAGTGTCATGTCATCGTTGTTCTTATATTCTCTTATTATAACATACTTTTATGATGTATTCACATCCTTACTTATTTTGACGCCAAGCAGCCTTCTACCTTTGTGGACTGATTTTAAGGGTAAGAGACGAAGATTTGGTTCGTGACTCTAATAATATAAAAAAAAGTATTTTTTGTAGGATAGGGTGACAAACGAACACACAGACCACCTGATGGTAAGGGTAATAGTACAAGTAATCAAAATGCAGATGCGTTGTCACCCGTGAGGACTAAGATGGAATGCCTCTTTTCCAGTAAAAACTATCTCCGGTTCTCTACACTCACCATACGAAAAACAGCAGCATTAAGCTGATATTTTACGCTGATACGCTGTGAGAGCGTGGTCCTTCCCCGGTCAGCCGACCCATTCGTGCTACATCTATAGCTGCAGCGTGGCTCTACCACGTATAAAGATTTTAAGTTAAGCTTTTGTTTCATTTCTCTTGTATTGGCAGCGTAAGAGAATCAATCACTGTATTTCGTCCTGTACGTATAAAAGACGACTATGGCAAACCCCAAACAGATATAATTCCGAACGATTATATATAAACATCCTGTTTACGCCAGATGTAAAATATTACACTGGGATATACTTATATATGACTAGGATGGCCAATTCGTCTACAAAGCTTGAAAAGATCCCAGGCCATACCCAGCTGTGGCATTTTGCGGACTGATGGTAAAGAAGAAAAAGATTTGAAAAGCATCTTATGCAAAATTGTACCAGGTGGCTATCAGGCAAAGCATTTTTACCCTAGTGTTCTAAGTTTATACTACTTACTAAGAAGTATGAATTTACGCCGTGTTTGTAAATAATAATAATGAATGAGTTCTATTCCTTCTTCCGTACCGTGTGTTGTAAAATTATAAACGATTGTTTTTCTCGAAGCGTGTTTTTGTTTTAGCTTAATACAAAGGGGTAATAATTGTGAATTTATTTTTTTTAGAACAATGCAGTGGCGTTTGAAATAACTTGCTAAAAGGGGTCACAAAATTTACATTAATAAGAACTGTCATCACGACTCGAACACTATTATTTCTGTCTCTTTTTCGATAAGCAATTAGCTAACATTTTTACACCCGGTTTCATTTGCTCGGGGGCTGAGAGCTCGGTTCTCACCGGCACCAATGAAATTTTTAGTGCTCTTTTACCACGTACTTTACGGTGATTGAAGATGTTTTATGGAAGCCTGCAGCACTGCCGTACATTTTATGCATAAAAATTTAGGCTATACTTCTAAAACGAGACCTGTAAAGAATTTCGCAACATTCTCATTTTGGTCACTGTCACAAATTGTATTAACGCCACGTTGATAAATGCGTTTAACGCTAATATACGATGTTACAATATATCTGGATTACCAAATGATTTACTCGGTATTTGCATACGCGCTGTACAAGATGCTTAATTTGTGTCGCCTGTCCTCGGCAGACGTACCTGATAACGCTGATCCACTATATGGGAGGGTCGATACGTAAGGACATGTCAAGTAAGGTGACGCACCTGATCGCGGCGGCGGCCACTGGTGACAAGTACCGGTACGCGACGGGGTTTGGGCTGCCAGTGCTGGCCCGTTCCTGGGTCGACGCCTGTTGGGAGAGACGAGACGACCCTGCCTGTTTTGCCACTGACGATGTTGTAATTGTAAGTTTTAATAAATTAAGTTATAATAAACTAGTAAAATTGAGGTATATATGTCAATGGAAATATATAGGTTATGATTTCTTAATATCACTCTTATCTTCATATTGATGAAATATTGGGTAGGGTATAAGTGTTATATCGTTAGGAGTTACGAAATTTATTTTATGTATCATACGCTTCTAAAGCAAAAGTAATTTTAATATGTAACACTTCTTATGATATTGTGTAAATTTTATAAAATGTTGGCAAAATTGAAAAAGGCACTATGCTTCCCATTAATTTGCCTTGAAACTGCTAGAACTAGAATGTCTCCATCCTCTCCCCGATGCGATACTCTATAAAATATACAATATTTTCCACCCTGTTTAGGTGCTCAGTCTGCTTTTGAGCCTTCTCACGAAAGTTATGAAGTATAAGAATTATGATATTTGTAAAGATGTATTTTTTCAATAATTATAGAAAGAACACAAACTGAAGGTGTTCGCTGGTGCGCGGGTGTGTTTCGTTGGCTTCCCCGAGGATGAGACGCAGCATATGGCGGACGTACTGGCGAGCAACGGCGGCGCTTCGTGCGCGCTCGACGACCCTGACTGCACGCATGTCGTGAGTACTCGCACACGAACACGTACCGACAAAAATATACGTACATGAACACGACCACAACCACTTATACGCTGTAACATGTAAACACACAAACATACGCACACCAACAAACACGCCCATAAAACACATATACATCCGTTAACACACATACATTATTACAACGCATACGCTCTTCAAGTAAGCCGCGACCGTACAATGTAACGGTGCGCGCGTTGGTTTTTGGATTGATTCAGTAGTTGCGTGGTTGACAACAAGCAATGACGCTCAATTAGAGTTCAAATTGTATTGTGTATTTAGGTATATTGTTAAAATATTTTTAAAATGATTTATATATATATATATATATATATATATATATATATATATATATATATATATTTTTTTAAGTAAAAGCACTTAACTGAGACTATACTAATGTTTATGCAAAACAATTAAAATCCAATTCAACTTTACCGTGTAATATAATGACTATGATAAACATAATTAAAATGTAAACTTTCATCATTTTTTGTTTCGGTATGTTTACATTTACACTAAATACCATTAGGAAAATGTAAACAAATGTAAAACACATGTAACTGCGAAATAGGAAATTGCTGTTTTATGTATACATCGTCAATAAATGAACCACGCAACTAGATATATTAATCTCTTAGTGTGATAATAAAAATGAAGAATAAATCGACTGCTATCTGGATAAATGCAGTCGATTTCCCTTTCGTCGCTCACCTCGAATCATTATCACAGAGCGTTTACCTAAATATAGGTTTATTTTTGATCTTTATCGCACATTAGTTACTAATTTTCGCGCAATGAAATCAGCATGCACGTAGTACCCTTGGGAATAGAATTTTTAGTGTAGTTACTTTGTAGATATTTCAAATAAGGTTGTAGTATGATACTTCCGTCATTTTCTTATTTTAGTTGTATCTATTCGACACCTCTGCCAGTGATTGCTTAATATTTAGCGCCGTCTTCAATGTCGTATACTGTTTAGACAGGGATGAGCGAATGTTTTACGACACTATTCCTCACTGAGTTTGTTGTTTTAAAACCCAATAGAGTTGAATTTATTATAATACCTAGTGCGTATTTTTGTTTTTAAATAATTTTTACGTTCTATCTAAAATCAAGTAAAATACAAATTTCAAATTTTTAAAGTTTTACTTACTCTACTATTTTTTTAATTAATAAGAAATAGGCTCAGATTATTTAAGTACAAAAACTTAAGACCACTTGAGTCCTTTTATATCAGTTTTGTAATTAATATCAGAAACTCTTCTGTTTTATTTTTTTAATTCACACAGTACGAACTCGCTGGCGCAGTTGTTTTTTAATTTAGTTATTATTATGAAAGTTTTTTTTTTTAAGTAGTTGTTCACTTCACATTTCGAAGTAAAATATATTTAAGTTGTATCCTTCCCTCATACAATGGGCCTTCCTCACGCGAACATGCCGGCACTTCCTAAGCTCTTTAATTCGTCACGACCTATTCCGTACGGCGCGAAGTCGACCCATTGTCTATCTCAGCACTTTTGTTTCATTTCATTTAAACCAGCACTCTAAGTACTATCATTTGTTGTTTTATTGTGTTCATTTCGCGGTATCTGTTTATAATATGTTTGTGTATCTCGCTTTTGTGTATACTGACAAATATCTTACAATATCATAACAGATCACTAGTAGTTTACACATTTCATAGTTCAATCACGTTCGTTTATCCTAGCGTATTTTGCACCAATTTTTAAATCATTTACTTTTCTTTTTGTATCACTTTGATTAACGGTGTAAGATATCTTTTATTTACAATTAGACAGTCTTCTGTGATTTCATCCATGACGCTAAAATACAAGCAATAAAAATGTATTATGTACACTTTTAATGTTTGTTAGGTAGCAAGCTTTTATGTATTTAACTATATCTTTCACGATAGTAATAATATCGTTCTGCATGTTTGTACTGGAATGGCTTCATTACATCATTGCGTGGTGTGTTTCACACATGTTTCAGGTAATGGCCAATGGGGAGACTTTCGGTCGTTCGCTTGTCCTGTCACCTCCTACGAATACTCCCGACACATCCATGAAACCGTCCCGAACCACCCCGAACCGATCCCAAAACACACCCAAGAGTTCTTTGTACCGTAGATTGTCGGCGCGGCTTTCAGGACGCCGCAGCAGTCCGAACAAATACAACGTTGATACCAATGAAAATAATTGTTCTCAAGATGACAGAGAACAGCGCTTACAACGCGCTATAAACAGTATTAAACACAACCAAAGTAAAGATGAACTAGATAATTCCAGAGTTAGTTATGTAGGAAAATCATTTATTGATGATTTATGTTCGAGTGGCGATAGAAACCAAAGTATTAGTCAAATGCAAAGCGTTGAACTGCGTCAATATAAAATATGTGGCAAAGAAAACAAATATGCTTCCCAAGCTCTACTCGAAAGTAGAATAAGTAGCAAAGATAAGAGAGAAGTATTTAGAAATAAGTCCATGAACGTATTTAACTTAGTGGAATGTTTAACAGAAGGTGGAGCTCTTCATTCGTCTTTAACTAAAAGCTTATGCGATTTAGATTGTAAGGACGAAACAACGGGTGGTCTGTTACCTGCATCTGCAGTTAGTAAGGAACTTCAACATTCTACAACCACCATATCCTCTGGTAAAAAAAGGAGTCGAAATTCAACTGAATCAAATTTTCAAGTAAGCATAGTAGATGCAAATATTTCACCTGATAAATGCGACGAAAGTAACTGGAAATCTATCAAAAGGTTAAAAATTAAAGATTCATTTAAATTTAAAAATAGACCTACGATTTTTAAGAAGACGAAAAAAGAATCTGTATCCAAGGCTGTAGGGGATATAACCGTTGAGCCAGTTAGCCCTGAGAGTGTTAAACCCACAGATCCAGCTGGAGAGTTCTTAGCTTCAACGTCTTCACCGATCAGAGAGGACGACAACGCCTCCATTTGTTCACTAAATATTAGTAAACAATCGGGATTTTTTGACATTTCTTTCGCATCAATACGTAGCTGTAAAACGGCAAAATCCGCATCAAAACTGAGAAGAAGCGTCAAATCATTTACTGCTTCCTTCAGAAGCGAAAGGAAGAAGAAATATGAGAAACGCACGGACCGTAACACGATCGAAGTCAATCCGTGCCACTTGTCGGATTTGAAAAATGTTTCAACGCCTAAGAGAGAACTCGACGAAATGCATTTAGACATATCACCCGTTCAAGTAGACACAATCGATAGCACGGATATGAGAACTCCGCACAAAGCCGATGAAGCCGAGACCGATGAATTAGACGATTCAGTGATTTTTAAAACACCACAAAGGGTTTCGCTGCGTACGCATCGACATTCAATTTGCGGCGGCATGGATTTGAAAACGAGCGTGTCGCATGTCCCGTCCCCGTCCCGCGGCCCGTCCCGTGGCCCGTCCCTCGCCCCGTCCCTCGCACCTTCCCTGGCCCCGTCCCGTGCCCCCTCCCCCGTCCTGAGCCCCGCCCCCCGGCCCGCGCGCGCGCTGCCGCCGCCCGCAACGACGCCTCCCACCCGCGACGCCCGCGCCATATCGCAATGCCATGGACTATCGCTACCGGTACTAACACCATTTAATTCAGTAATACTAAATCTTAGACTTACTTGCCATGCCATAGACAAATGCTGTAATCGATGAGACAAAAGTAATGAGCGCCCCGTTACTGTCGAATCTGTCGATCTTGCTATTTTGCATGCTTAATTCAGCATATTGAAATTGTTTAGGTGCTTATAAATGTGCACAGAGGAATGGGACAATACGGAGGCGGAATTTATTTCTTTTATATCCTTACTTTTATTAACGAGTAGGTTCATAATTATAAAAATAATTTGTAAGTACCTATAATAAATAAAATGCTAAATGTGTTTTGTACATTTTATTTGTACTCGCAGGTGGTAGATGTACACAACACAGGAGTAGCTCCCGAGTGTTCGACGAAAGTCCACATAGTCAAAGCCGAATGGTTCTGGGCGTCTGTACAGAATGAAGAGGCCCAGGATGAACGGGAATTTCTATTTAAAGATGTAAGTATTTTTTAATTTTTCATAATAATTTTACCATTACATATACAATACCATATATGTACAACAAATGAGTAAACATGGAACACTCTTTAATTCACTGTAGCATTCTGAAAAAGAGTAGAAATAAAAAGAGACCTGTACTCGAGATTCTTATCCTGCGTATATATGCTGTTACATGAACTTACTTTAACGTAGGGTTTCCCAATCTTTTTTTGACCAGGGACCACTTTAATTTTTTTGTAGTTAGCAGAGACCACAAAGTGAAAGAAAAACTTCTGTTAATCTAACAATAAAAATTGCATAAAAGACTTAGAAGAAGCATTAATTAACAGTATTATTTGTGTATTTATTTTAAAAACTAGTAGGTATTTATTAACGTGACGCGAAAGTAATAAATGTGTTTATTTATTTATTTAACAATTTATGTACACACAAACATCGGATAGGAAACAACGTGATGAAGAGTTTGTACCCTTGTACCTAATAATTTCATTACGAGATAAAGTAACGCAAAATTTCTTCCAGTAGGCCAGTTACAAAGATTAGGTAGGTAAAATATTCAAATCTTTTGCGGACCTCTTGTTAACCACTGCTGATCCGCGGATCACTGGTTGGGAATCACTGCTTTAAAGTGTCAAATTTGCGACAGTATCTAGACGAAGTGTCGCGGCGGTCGTCGGTGGGCGGTGCGTGCGCAGCGTCGACGGAGGATGCGGGCGCGGGCGGCGGAGGGGGCGGCGGTGTGGGCGGGGGCGCGGGCGGCGCGGCGTCGGGTGCGGGCACGCCGTCGCAGCTGCAGCGGCTGCGCAAGCGCAAGCTGCGCGGCGGCGACTCGGCGCTGCACAAGCGCCGCTCCTCGCTCAGCGACGCCGTGCTGCTCAGCCTGTCCGGCAACCTGCTCGACTGCACGCCCTCGCCCGACGGCAAGCAGCTGCTCGAAGGTGAACGAACAAACATTAATACGCGCTAGAGCCGTGTTGCAGCTGTATTATGGTTGTACCACGAATGGCTCGACTCGACTTGAGAAGGACCACGCTCTCACAGAATACCATCGTGAAATTGCAGCATAATGCTGCTGTGTTTCGTATGGTGAGTGAACAGGTCCAAAAACCCTTTTAACTGGAAACGGGGCATTCCATCTTAGACCTCAGGGGTGACAACGCATCTGCGTTTTGTATATTAACCGAGGATAGTTCAAGATGTCTATGGGCTACAGCATTCACTTACCATCAGATGGTAGTGTGTGCTCAGTTGTTGCAGCTATGACAGTTGTTTCTTTATAAATTCCATACATAAACGTTATTTGTAGACCATACCAAACTCTTGTTCTCTAATCAGTGACCCGCAGCACCGCAGTCGCAACATAGTCACTGCGCTACCGAACCGTCAACAACCTGCTACCATTAGATCCTACGCTATTATAGCTTATTTTCTATACAATTAGTTTGGTGACACTGCATTAGTTTGACAATAATTATAACGCCCCGCCTTTGAAAGAATGGATCAAATGACTCGCAGCTCTTAATAAATTTACTGCTTCTCTCGATTCTAATCTTGATAGATTTTTCAATACTAACCACGCTAAGTAGTTGAATTGATCTTGTAAATATGCGTCATCAGTCTGAGGAATTTAGGTTCTGCATTTTCCAGTGGATATACCGCCATCCACCGGTTTCCAGAATCACGTTTGTTAAAATGTTACAGTGTTAGATACACTACATACAAGTGAGGCAGACATTTGGGGAGTTTGGTATATTTCTCATGTTCAGTCATGCCTACTACGTCATTTTCTACTCAAAGTTCTACACATCCTATTGTTGTATACCTTACAAATGCCAGGACATATAATGTATAAATACATATTTTTATGTCTACAATAATCGTTTACGAATTGATTTCTACAATATTTTTGTTATATGTTAATTTTGTTCAATGTATCTTTCATGTAGAATCGGAAGTACCTGATAATGTGGTGCGAAAACTTATGTCGCCAAGGCAACAAGTCTTCATGGAGTTACTACAAACAGAATCAAATTATGTAGGGATATTGCATACAATAGTCACTGTAAGTACAACATTCTATGAATCAGCAAGTATTTTTATTTAAAGTAATTAGAATTTATTATAATCATAACTGATACTATATTGTAACTTATATGATTAATTTAATATGACTGATTTACACAAGTTTTTATAAAATCATTTTTATATTTGATTTTGATTTGCTAATTTAGCCGTTACCTATAGTGTTCTTTTTAGTGTATATTATAAGAAAGAAAAAAATTATAAATAGCCTTTTCTTCCCAGATGTTTAAACAACCTTTAGAAGAGATGGCCGAGGAGGACAGCAATAACGGAAAAAATCAAGCTTTGCTCAATAACACGGAACTAAAGATTATTTTCGGAAACTTACCGCCTATTTATGAATTACACCAGTGAGTTTTAACCAAGATTATCATTTATAAAATATCATAGTAGTGTTCTAATAAGCATATTTACTAGTTGACAGTATACATAATAAGGTCATTATATAATTTAACGCAGCATTAAGATGTTTATTAATTTTGTACGTATATATAAATTATTGTAAAGTTATAATATACTAAATAGTTAGCATGTAGAGCTAACCATTAAATATTATTCAGAAAATAAATATACCAACAATTAATGAACCATTAGGTTTTGCAAAATAATATATTGTTTTGATTGTAGACGGATGCTTGAAGAATTACATTACGCTCAATCGCATTGGAGTGAGGAGGTGAGCATCGGCAGGCTGGTGCTCAGGTATACGCCGGACATGGTGAAAGCGTACCCTCCCTTCGTCAACTTCTTCGAGAACACCAAAGAGATGCTGCAGCAGTGCGATCGTGAGAACCCTAGGTAACATTAGAACTTTACTAATACACAGATTCATAAGGATATTATTGCTATTATAATATAAATAATATAGGAAGTAAAACTCATTAAAAGTTATGATTCACACACTCCATATTAAAAAAAATATATTTTTAGATTTCATGCATTCCTGAAAATATGCCAGACAAGACCAGAGTGCGGTAGACAGAGTTTACAAGAATTATTAATAAGACCAGTGCAGCGGTTACCCAGTATAAGTTTGTTACTTGATGGTGAGTCATTAATCAAATAAGAACATGTCTGTGTTATATATGTATGTGTAATAAAAAAAAAGTTTCCTTTTCGCTTTGATATATTAAATACTCTAGTTAATGTAATTTTTTGCGTAACAATCACCCTTAAGTTTTTTTCTTTACAATCTAAATTAGAAGTTACTTAATATCCCTTAATTTGAATATCATGTAAATTTCTATTAATGCAAGTTTGTGTGCTCTTGTGTGATCCCCTGTGGCCTAATGTATTTTGTAGTGTCATATTAGATTCGTCTGGTTTCAATTACAATTCCAATACCAATCCGGTTGTCAATTGTATAATAAATTTCTTGCTTAAAGTTTATTCTAAAGAATCATTTAATCAATTAATATTAGTGATCCCCAAAAATTTCGCTAGATAGTTGCTTTACATTTCATAATACAAGTTAAATACATTTTGTCTTTTAGTATTTAATGCTACATTGTAATACATTTTACCAGTTTAAAATCTAATGGCCTGTTTACTTTACAGTTGCGCTCAGTTCTTTTACTAACCTTAAATAAAAGTGATCCGTAAAAAGAACGTTCTATATTTATAACATTTTGTATTAGGCAAGAAATAAAATGTTCTCAGAATGGACACCTGTGACTGTGGTACACCAATTTATCCCATTTTTATTAGATTAATTTATTATAGAGATTAAATTTACTCCTACAGCAGCCACTTTATAACTATTAAAGCAGCATTTTTAAGGATTAATTTCTCAAGCATTACTTAAAACTAGCAATAGAGATACAGGACTAAAATTACTCGGGTAATAAGAATTACCAGATTGAATAAATTGTACTACTGCAATTTATATGGCAGAAAACATGCTTTTTTCAATGCATGAATAGAACAATAAAGTATATTGATATCATATTTTATTGCTTTCACCAAGAATTATTAGTGAATGTTTTAATTATTTCATGGGAAGTAACATGTCTTGAATTAGTTTACATATCGATCTTCAGTTAGAAAGTAATGTGAAAAATATATAAAAGGTATTCATTTTAGATATACTGAAGCACACGCATAAGAACAACCCGGACCACGCGGCACTAGTGTCTGCACTGGCCGGGCTGCGCGAGGTCATGTCGCACATCAACGAAGACAAGCGCAAGACCGAGGGCCAGCTGCAGATGTTCGACATCTACAACGACATAGACCAGTGCCCGGTGAGTGACACCCCTTCTGTATAAGAATGTGCGGAATATGTTTAATATTTCTTTTTATATGATAAGGGTGACAAACGAGCACACAGTCCACCTAGACATGCGCGCCGAGCAAGAATTCGGCGGCGGCGGCGCGCCGACCCATTGTGGTCGGCGTGGCGACGCCGCGCCGGCGCGGCCGTATTTTATTTTAATTTTTATAAACATTTATTTAAAATAAGGTAGTAACAAGTGAAACATAGACCTGGATAGGAATTCAAATTTAATTTCTCAAAATAAAAACAAACCAAACAAGTTCTAATTAATTATACCTTATAATTTGTGCAAAAACGAAAAAGCACATTTTTTTGTTTCTTGCACAAACTATACGAAATTAAAATTGTGTTTTTTACACAATGTATAATTATCATGAATAAAAATAATTTTATTAACGTGTACTGGGCTTAGTCTAGATCTTTTAGCAGTCACAGTTAGTCCCACTATAGAAAAAACGCGCTCACTAGGCGTCCTAGTAGCAAATGTTCTGATCACAGAGTAGTTTTTATATACATACTGAAAGTTCTGATACGCGCTCCAGAGACTGTAAAAATTTAATTTGTTCTATTTCCGCCGCTCGCTTCAATTCCGGTAAGCGATACCGAACGATTTTTACGATCTTTTTACATTTTTTTATTGATTTTTGAATTCTTAAATAATTGCATGGTTTTATTGACCCCGCGCCCGCGCGCCCGTCCCGCGTTGGTTCACGGCGCGCCGATCGGATTTGTCGGCGCGGCGCGGCGTGGGCAGGGCGCGGCGTGGCGCGGCGGCGCCGGCGCGGCGCGCATGTCTAAGTCCACCTGATGGTAAGTGGATGCTGTGGCCCATAGACATCTACATCTATCCTCGATTACGTATCAAAATGCAGATGCGTTGTCACCCGTGAGGACTAAAGCTGAACGCACATTTGTTCGCGCCGTACGCGCCTAATTTTAGAATTCGTTGTATGAAATCATATGAAACATGACACCCGCACCGTACGCGCCGAATTTTATAAAATGCGTTAGGTATCCGAATATTGAAGGATGCATGCTGATGACGTCATATAACGCGGCGTGTTCGGCGCGTGCTAATGCTGTGTTGTCTAATGTTGTCAAGTTAGTGGATTTACCACTATAACTGATTTTTCAACGTACGTGATAATTTTTGTATTTTTTTAACTTTTAATTAATTCGTAATTAATTGTACATAATTTGATATTTTTTGCATTGACTGGCCTGTTGGTCTAGTGGTTAGTGACCCTGACTGCTACGCCGGAGGTCGTGGGTTCGATTCCCACCCAGGACAAATGTTTGTGTGATGAGCAAGATCATTTGTTCTGTGTCTGGGTGTAATTTATCTATAATATTTATGTATTTAGAAATATATAAGTATGTTTATCAGTTGTCTAGTACCCATAACACAAGCTCTGCTTAGCTTGGGACTAGATGGCGTTGTTTGAATTTAAAAAAAAAAAAATTAAAATACTTATTCATAAATTATTTAAATACTGAACGAAAAAAAATAGTTAATTTTAATTCAGGAACCCAATTATACCTGATTACTTAATTAACAATAAAAATATTTACCTCAAACATACAACAAGTCTTTTCTGTGGTTCAATTGGTCTTCTAAATCTTAGTTTTCCATAGAAAGATATGGTATTAGTATATTATGTAGCAATTCTTGAAATTTTGTCATTATCTAATAAGTCTTTAAGTAAAGTATAATATTCTCCATACAACTGCCTTTTTAAATTAATATTATGAATCCAGAATCATCTTTTTCTTCGAATTTTATTTTCTTCTTCCTCTGTCAATAAGCAGCCTATTACTATATTTCTTTCCATAGTGATTTCGAGCGATCAATATCATTGTACCGTCTCACACCAGTGGTTGGAAAAAATTACAAAAGTTGTTGGTGATACAAAAGATTTGCGTACGGCGCGGACGGTAAGTACGTGCAAATGTGCGGGGCCATCAGTAAAACTCGGCGCGTACGGCGCGTACGACGCGTACGTTGCGGACTGTGTGTTCAGCTTAAGATGGAATGCGTCGTTTCCAGTAAAAAGAGTCTCCGGTTCTCTACACTCACTATACGAAACAAACACATCAGTGTTAAGCTGCTATTTTACGCTGGTATTCTGTGAGAACGTGGTCCCAACCAGGTCGAGCCGACCCATTCGTGATATAACCACGCTGCTACCAAGCAGCAGAGCGTGTGTTGCTGTGTTTTGGTTTAAAAGGTAATAGACATATAAATTACAGACTGTATAATATCCTAGATCATTGAACATTATGTTCGTTTTTTTAGAAATTTTAAGTAATAGGAAAATAATATTATTATATTAAAATCAAATCTTAATAGGGATGTACATCTATTTATTAATAATATTTATTAGTAAATAGATCTCTATTTAGTAATAATATTTGATAGTTGGAACTACTAAATAAAACAAGTTAACACTTAAGCATATTTTGCACCACGGAATATAGAAAACAAGAGAAAGCCCAAAGTGGGCGGGGCAGGTGTGTCACAATTAGTGACAGTAGAGCGTAATTGACTGTCAGTCGTAGGCTCAAATTGTTGCGAGCTGACGGATTGCTGCTTAAATGATATATGCGAAAATATGCCGTTCTGTGTAAAAAACTGGAGTGTAAAAACGAAAGTAAAAATAAAAATATTTTGAATGGAGGTGTTTCGTAGCAAAGGCACGTGTAATTTTTTCCTTTTTTGAATAGAAACTTGACTAAACATGTACAAAATGTCAAATTGCCTTTATTACAAGTAATATTCAACCTTATTTCGTTAAACTAAGGTTCATCTGTAAATACATTTTGAATAAAAATAGCTGCGATAGTGGTGTGACTACACCGATATTAAAGTTTTCGATAAAATTTTATCACAGTCCTGTTCATTCTCTAACATATTAATGAAAATTTGCAAATACTGGATGTCTATGGAAATGTACGAAATTATAGGGTAAGGAGAAGAGAAGTAAGTAGTTTAGTAGTACCAAAGAGTATAGTAACTGCTCTATACAGAGTAGTACTCATGACTTTTGGAAAGAAGCTGAAATAAAAGTGATCTTAATATCTACATTAGTATCCGAATTCATTATCGTCTAAAATGTTATATTAATGTGTCGAAACGATAATTTTTAACAAATATGTATTATTTCAATGACAATAAACAATTGGAAAATTATTGTTTTTTTTTTCTGTTATTTTCCTTGTTTCCATTTCATAAATGATAATTTAGCTAACTGTCAAAAAAGGGGAATCCCCAATTCTGGCCATGAAACGCCCAACAATTTGCATTTGTTGAAAAAATACATCTTATTTTATGGTAATTAATCGCGGTACTTATGTATCCAAAAAATATTGCAATATTTTTGTACAAAAAAGTACCGAAAAGGTTAAAATGAAATTAGGTAAATCCGGAAGTCATCAGTTTGTGGATAAAATAAAAAGTGTTGCCAATCACAAATCTCGTTAAAAAAGTCAATTCTATGTTTTCAATCGATTTTTTATGGTGTCATTATTATAATGGTAATATTATTTTACGATAATTATTATAATGTTATGATAATTAAACAAGCGAATTGCTAGTTGATTTACCATGAACTCTTTGGAACATAGCAAAAAAGCTACTGCACAATTTAACTGTTATTATTATCTGTTCTTAAAAATACATTTAAAATGGAATTTAAATAAATAAAACAAAACATATTTTAAAAGGCGTGTAGAACTTAAAGCGAATCAAAGATTATTCTTTTTATGAAATGATAAATCGAATAAAAAAATCGCTATCTATTTATCGATTTTATGTCTGTTTGGAAACATCCAATCTGACAGCTAGGCCCATAATTATCAAAACTAAATTGTCACAAGTCGAATTCCTTAGCATTTGTATTATTTTGTTTGTTTTGTCGCGGATTTGTGATCTAAGCAACGAATAAGCTTTCTAAATGGACTCCGATAATTCTTCTCACCCTATTGACCACGGCCTGAAAATGAATCCCGCTCCCACTTCTTACGATAACCTCTGCACAAACTTGGACTCGATATCCACTGTTAACGATGACCCCAGCCAAAGAGAATATAATCATTACGTTTAAGAGGTGGGACTTCCATAGTAAAAGTAAATACATGAAAGTACCCCAAGCTACTCTACCAACATCAAGATATTACATTTAGTTTTAACAAACAATGCTGACAACATTGACGAATTACAATAATGCTGTATATGTCTATCGTCGAATAATTTTATCGAAATTACATTTATCGATATATTGTTTATCAATATTTTTACACAATAAAAGTTAGATCTCTATACTGAATTATTTATGAGAAATAAATTTTTTAACGCGGGGATTGAGTAAAATGCCGATGAGGAAAAGAAATCAATGTATGTTACACATAGCAATTTGTAATTATATCTCTACAATTAGGTACAAAAATATGTATAAAGAAAATATAAAATAAAAAACGCATTACTATACTAGTAATTAATTAAGTAAAAAATAAATGACGACTTCGTAGCGCAGTGGCGTGGCTAAGCGTGCTAGCTGCGGCATAGCAGGGCCGAGACTTCGTTCCCGCACTGAACAAGTTTTGCTATGCTGTAAAATAAATAGTCTGGGTCTGGATGCTTGTTTTCAACGTTTGTTTTGTTAAAGGGTTAAAATATTAGGTTTTTAACACTGATTGGATTAAATTGCTTTTATGTGTAACAAATACTATGTACAAATCGCTAGGCTTCTTCACAAAGGTGTATGTACATAATATTCGCAGAGATCGTATTTTAATCGTCGCTTTCAAAATGAGTGCTCATTATAGCTAATGATTGTAGATGAATCTATAAAAAAAAAATATTTATAACCAGGTACAAATAACTTTGAGTTTATTTATATAATCGAATTCTTACCAAAATGTGACTTTAGAGGGATATTATCTTTTGCTACATGTAAATGAAATCTAATTAACATACACATAATTGTAGAAGTTTAAATTAATTTGAGTGATGAAATAACAGTTCGTTTTAGTAGGGTACAAATTCAATGTTTGCCACAAATATGTTTTAACATGTGAATCTTTTCAATTGGTGCATGTCCCAGCTATTTCACCCATTGCTTGCATCTGAAAAAATAATATAAATAAATTCACATTTTTATGGAACAAATAAAATGAACAGTCACAACTGACTGTGTAGTTTCTAAGTATAGTTCGTTTCGGATTGCCATACCATCGCACTATCAGATTTAAGAAATAGTGTGTTTGTATTTGTGCACACAATCGTACGCTATAAAAACCTGTCCTACGTAGATGGCTAATCCAAAAATGTACTCGCGTTAAATATCTTATTACTATTAAAGTTGAAATCACCACATACCTTTCATCATCTAAGGGAAATATTGCTACGAATAGCCTTTTCTTGTTATCATTTTTTCCGCTTCTTGCAACTTTTAATTGGGAAGTTTTATAATGCATATTAAATTTTTTGACAATTCTGTAAATGAACAACGCAAAAATATAGCAAAATTAAAAGCATTAAGATTAATAAATAAAATATATAAAAATATAATTGTTTGATTTGACATTTGAACCTATTTGATTTGACAAAGTCGTTAATAGACATAGTACCAAAAGCAGAAAGAAGAGATAACCGTCATTAAAATTTGACCCCTGTAGTACATATATTTTTTACTATGGAAGTTGCACCAGCCTGACCCCAGCTTTCACACCGGCCAGAGTTCTTCCCAGCTCTCAGTAACTCATTCAAGAGGAAATTTACGCTGTGTCAATAGTGGTTTAAATGTCACGAAAATACGAATTTATTTGTTCTTAAAAAACTGTTCTTGTGAAAATTAAAAACCTTTATTACTTAAAAATCCGGACGTTTTTTAAACCAATTCATTAACCATTTCTTTCTTTTAATTGCATATTATCATTTCCATATGCGTTTATATGTGAGCACCCATGGCCGAAGTGTCTATGAACGGTGGGCATTCCCCTTTCCATTAAAGACAATTAATTATATGCCGGCTAAACGAAGTACGGGGATATACGTAGTATATTAAGCCAATTTCCAATTAATTTTGCTATTTTACTCATTTTATTATTATTATTATTTTCAATTCAGTTTCTTCGGTCAATTCAATTCATATACATGATAATAATCATATACTGAATATCGATATCAAGTCAAATAACGTTCAGGGAGAGTAATTACCTCACTAACATCATTCATGTAGCAGTACAGGTTAGGTAGGGCAATGTCAACGTTATATCTATTACAATTGTGTCTATAATAGTGTGAATGTATTATTGCGACATCTAGCTTTACGAAGCTAACTTTGCTCATTAATTCTAGAAAAAAATCGTTGGTGAAAGTAATATGATCTCTATTTTTAAGGACTTATGGTTCGTACTCAAGTGAATGGTGAGTAACATAATGCCTTTCTCTTTTATTTTTTAATAGCCAACCACGCGAAAATTATTGAAATGGTACACAATTGTCAGTACACATTTCTTTCTTGCGTATGTGTGAGTTTGGCGACAGCGGTTCCGCTACAAATGATGGGTTTTGCTACAGAAACAGAAACAGAAACTTTTTTATTCAATATAGATTATAAATAATACTTATTGAAAGTCACTCTTTTGTTTGATTACCACTGGTTCGGAAAAAACCTCTGTCCTGGGAAGAACCAGCAAGAAACCCAGCGGGACTTTTTTTTAAATAACAGCTTACAATCATGATGTTACACAAATTAACAACACAACAAATTAGAAATACCTTGGTAGCGATCACCTCATTTCCAGGGGTTATTATCATCCATAAATTCCTTAATATTATAATAACCCTTTTTATACAAACTTAGTTTAATAAAGTTTTTGAACTTTGAACAGGCCAAACTTTGTATATTTTCTGGAATTTTGTTGTAAAAGCGTATACATCGCCCCAAGAATGAATTACTGACTCGATGGAGTCGAGTAACTGGTACTACTAGCTTGTGTCTGTACCTAGTATTTACAGAATGAATATCACTTATTTTTATAAAACTACTTTTATTTTTGTGTACGTACATTACATTTTCATAAATGTATTGAGAGGCCAAAGTTAATATATTAATTTCCTTAAATTTTTGTCGCAGCGACTCTTTAGGCTTTAAATCATAAATTGCTCTTATGGCCCTCTTCTGCAAAACAAATATAATTTCAGTGTCAGCTGCGTGTCCCCATAGCAGAATACCATACGACATTATGCTATGGAAGTAGCTGAAGTAAACTAATCTAGCTGTTTCAACACTGGTTAGACTTCTAATCTTTTTTACAGCATATGCTGCAGAACTAAGTCTGCTTGCTAGTTTTGATATATGGGGGCTCCATTGAAGTTTCGCGTCTAGTGCGATTCCAAGAAAAATGGTGGTGTCTACAAGACTCAGTTTCTCCTCATTTAAAATTACATTAGTATTTAATTGTTTGACATTTGGAGTCACGAATTTCATACATTTTGTTTTAGTGCCATTTAAATGCAAATTATTAACATCGAACCAATTTAATAATTTAGATATAGCATTATTTACTTCGTCATATTTTAGTAACTGTCGACTTAATTTGAAAATTAAAGAAGTGTCATCTGCAAATAATACTATATCATGGTTATCCCCTACTATGTAAGGTAAGTCATTAATGTATACAAGAAACAGAAAGGGGCCGAGAATTGAGCCTTGAGGCACGCCCATTTGTACCATCGATCCGGAAGAGCTCATATTGTTAATGACAACTTTTTGCGTTCTCTTACTTAAATATGAAATAATTAATTTAAGGGCATCACTTCTTACACCGTAGTGTTGAAGTTTCCTGATTAATGTTTCATGGTGAACACAATCGAAGGCCTTGGATAGGTCACAAAATATACCCAAAGCATCCTGTGAATTCTCCCATGCATTAAAGATATATTTAATCAGCTCAACACCGGCATCAGTTGTCGAGCGACCCCTTGTGAAACCAAATTGATTTTTATGAAGTAAATTATTTATAATAAAAAAATTTAACATTTGATCAAGAACAATTTTTTCAAAAATCTTACTAAGTGTTGGTAGTACAGAAATAGGTCTAAAATTGGCGGGGTCTAATGTACTACCAGATTTAAATAAAGGTATTACTTTACTATGCTTCATTAAATCAGGAAACACACCAGATTCGATACTAGTATTAAAAATAATAGCTAAATGAGGCGCGATTGTATCTATTATAGACGCAATAACTTTAACGGAAATCCCCCACAGATCCGCAGTTTTCTTAACATCAATAGTTTTAAAATATTTTACAATATCTTTTGATGACACTTTATGAAATGTAAAATTCTTTGTACACACATTTACATTTTGTTTAAGTAATGATTCGGCGACGGCAGGAGAAGAATTCAGAGACTTAGTGGTCAAGATCGGAATATCAGTAAAATATTTCTCAAAAACCATTGCTACGTCCTGATCTGATACAGTTAATATGTTGTTAACACTTAATTGGTAATTTGAATTGCGAGAGTTGATCTTACCAGTTTCGCTATTAATTATACTCCATGTCATTTTAATTTTATCGGAAGCTGTCTTAATTTTGTTACTTCCTCTTGTTTTTTACATTCCATGTTTTGCACTTTCGACTTTATTCATTCACTCCATTTTAACTCAGTAAATGATATTGTCCATAGGATCAAAGACGGTTCCGATAAAACCCTTGATAAAACTCGCAGCCGTTTTCAGTGCGTTGTGACATACATCGTAGTGAAAATATGATGAGTGACCCGAATGAGATGAATATGTTATGTAGGCGTCCTTTCATATACAATCATCAGTGGGTTGTGAGTTCTATTTTCAATCTTACTGACGAAGAACCATCTCGTGCAAATGGAAGTCCTTAGTCTCTGCCTACTCTTCTCTCTGACGTGCGTGCGAGTTGTCGCACGAATGCACGTTTTTCTATTTCTAAACATATTTTATAATTTTAGGCGCACCTCGTCTCATCGCATCGATCGTTTGTGTCCCGTTGCGAAGTCGTCGAATTATCAAAAGAGCTCTCAGGAAGGGGTGACCATCTTGTATTATTTTTATTCACTGACACAATGGAAGTATGCAAAAAAAGATCCAAGGTGAGTTGCTAGTTTATAAGATTATTTTAATTGTCGCATAAATCCTTCAAAATATAATATTTTGGAAAATAAATTTTGTATCTTCTTTTCAGGCTTTTAACAGTAAAAGTCCCACTAACGGGATGGGAACGATGCGATTAGGATCTAGTAAACCCTACAGGCATATATCGCTAATGCCGCTTAGTACAGTCAAGCGTGTCGTCGATATCAGAGAAGCAGAAGGTAAATTTATACTATACTTAAAATCGGTAAATCTAAGTACAAAAATATTTTCATCAGAAAATGAAAACCTTGTTATACAGATGCTTCTTCTGATAGATTAGAAAGAATGTTCTAGACATAACAGAGGTTGGGGTAATTATGTCATACTGTTTTTGCCTATTTATAAAATCATTAAAACATACTTTATATGAATGGTATATAAAAATGTCGTTTTTAACGAGTTTTGTTTTGCATAGTAAGGGGGATTAGATTAACTTTTTCTCCTGATATCAACCTCATTAGCACAGTCTACAACTTGCATACTAAAATATTATTAGTATTTGATGACTAAGATGCCAGTAAATTCATTCAATAATGCTTATAACAAATGCCACAGACTGGTGGTCGGAATCGAGCTCTTCTTTAAAAGTACTCATACCAATACTTAGTGGACTAAAAAGACTGACGATTATTATTCATCAATGTTCATAATTTTCATTATTGCAACATAAATAATGTTTAAAATTTATCTGAATTTGACAAACATATACTTTACTATTTCATAAAAAGTTGAAACCAATTATTTTTCCAGATTGTCACAACGTATTTGCGCTGATGTGCCGGAGTAATCAAGAATTAAAAGAAAAATTATATTCATTTATGATCACCGATGAGACAGTTGACAAGTCATACTTCCTTCGACAGCTCTGCAGACAAATGGCCAACACAGTCTGCAAAGCTGATGCCGTACGTATTACATTAAGTTCAGTTTTATCGACCAACGGTAGGCTTCCCGTGTAGTGGCGCTGTTACAATATCCACTACCGCATATAGTCTCGTGGGTAACGTAAGAGGCGTCGGAGGGAAACAAAGCAGAAGATGGGCAGCAGCGTCTTCCTAAAAACAATTAAAAAATTAAACACTGCGGTTGCCTACCCGGCTGCCAAGCGTGACAATTATAGCTAATTTCTAATATGAGGCAATCTTTGGGGGAGACCAATGTTCAGCAGTGGGCTTTAATAGGCTGTGTCGGTAATGGTAACGGTAGACCTCACTCGTGTAATCAGAAGTGCAATAGGGCAGGAGAATACGCTGACCTGCTCTGGTGCATGTTGACGGACTTCATCAAGACGGGGTAGTCCTGTAGTAGTTATAACTTACAATTGCTACAACTCCGTAGTTTAATATTGTTCTCAAAACGATACCGCATTCCTTGAAAATTTCAAAATTGCGAATCGTACCATTTCGTTTTGTAGATGAATACCAATGAAATTCGAAAAAATCTACATCGCGTATTATATTGCATATTATATTATATATTTGTTAACAGGACAAATTTCTAGCGTGTCTGGAGTCACACCAACTCGATATCGATACGAGCGATCTCGCACTTAGTACACTCTCCAGGGTATCAAAGTTTGCCGCACGGACTCGAATTAAGGTACCCACTATATATAACATATGTTTTGAATATTGATTGATAAAACAATTTACTTTTCATAGATCTGGAAATTTAGAGACATAGCTGTAGCATGTTTTTTACTATACAATAATAGTCATCAAAATAGCTTAGCTTGCATTTTTAGTATAACGATTGTAAAGCAACCTTAATAATTTTGATCTCGCAATCTGTCTGAATGTTTAATAGTATATCAAACAAACTTTATATTTTGTCAAATGTAAATTATACCATAATGATTTTATAATTGGAGGGTCAGACAAATTGCGTATGATTATTATTTATATATTAAGTATATGTATATTTAAAATACTATGTTTATTTTAATCTGGCCAAATGAAATAAAAGTGTGCGCTTTAATACGAATCAGTACTTATCTACGCAAATACAAGTCTGACGTTATCAGTATTGTCTGTATGTAACTAAGGCATGAAAACGATTTGTTTTGTCAGTTCATTATTTTGAAACAAACATTTAATGTACATGCTTAATTAAAATTTCGTGCATTCTATAATTGAGATGGGAGGAAAATTCAGTAGCACCAGTTTTAGTTAATGATCAACTAAGTTTATTTAAAGCGCCTCTTTACTACGAAAATATAACGATCATCGTTATACAGGGTTATTTTGCAATATCCAGCGAATTTGCTGAGAAGGTTCAGAATAAGAAATATAGGCAAATGGTGAAGAAAAGTTAATTAAAAAAAATCTCAAAATTTCTGTCATTTATATGTTTTAAATTGAAAATGCGTGGTGGTGCATTATTTTAACTGATTTTACCTCGCACGCACACATACGTAAACCCTTACGCTTAGTAAAGTACATTATAGTGTGTCTTCCCGAGCCCTTCTACCGTTACATCGTAAGTACCTATGTCTGCTCTCCCGGCCGACATCTGACAGTGTTGACCGTGACATACGCTTCGTTACTAATGACTTAACGAAAATATTCGAACCGCCGATACTATGAAACTGAAATAGTGCGATATTACATTTTAAGCAATGAAAGTTTACGTGGTACATACAAAGACACTAAAGGGAGTCTACCGCGGTGAGAAATTAGCGTACGTGTCGTAATTAACCTACCAATTGAATTAAACTATTCAAGTGCAGTGAGCGATAAATAGTTTAGTTTTAGTTCTTTGCAGATTCACTATTTAAGATAATATCTTAAATGTGTTCACGGAAGTTAAAAGTGCTCAAGAACAGTTGTAAAAAAAAAATGTAAAAAATATTTTAAGAAAACGTGCTTGTCTATGCATAAAGAATGTACGGCCCAGCCTATTTGAACGTTCGGTAACTTTCGGAAGCCACCGACGCCGTCAGGCCGCTTATCGCGCTCGGATCCGTTACTTTGAATTCACGTTATGAATAAACAGTTATTTAATATGTGGTGTGTTCGTTATTCACATCCAGAAACGATATTATTAGATGTTGAGACTACTTACGTAATTTAGTTGTAAATAGTTTATTTAATTTTTTCAAATACGCTATAATAAGAACAGTCGTCGTTTACGTCGTTGATAAGCAAAAATATATGTTTAATTTTATTTATTATGACGATCCTAAGACCGTTAAAAGCGTGAAAGGAAAATTGGAATCATAATTTGCGTCATGTAGTTATTATCTTAAGTATTAGTATAGTATGTTTTTAGAGCAGGCGGAAAAACGTACATTGACCTTTGACTATATTATCGGGGTAGCCAACCTTTTTCTTATGTTTTATCTTTTTATCCTTGTATCATTACATACATCGTCAGAGTGAAAGATAAGAGTGCCGAGTGCGAAGTTCTTCGCAGGTCCTGTGTCTATTATTTTATTATGAAGTAAGAAGATTATTCTATATATTAGATATTATGATAGAATTAAAAAGCAAATTAACATTAATTTAAATTTATTATTTATAAACCATAACAGTTAATACAAATTTAATTATTACGTTAAGAGTAGGTAAATAGTGTAATAAGTAGGTAGGTAGGTAGTTGTACAAAACATAACCACTTCTTGGCAGTCGGGTAAAATGGCGAACTTTTAATGCATTCTTTAGCAGTCAACCATGAAGCATGCATATAACTTCTCATAATAGACTGTCAGAAACACTTAACAGACTATGCTTTTGTAACTACTTCAGAATCATTTTCTGATGATAAAGACGTGGAAAAGTTCGCCACATAAAGCTATCTACAGTTTTATCAATGGCATTATCCAATTCATTTAATTTGTTATCTTCTTTTATGACGTGGTTAATGCAGTTTTTCCACTTTATATGGTCATCTCTGAATGACCGCTTCCTTCACCCCACCCCCTACCATGATCCATGAAACACGCTTAGAGCATAACGATACGTAATCAATAATAAAATGTATGAAAGGAATACCTGTCGTTTTGTTTCGGTGCTAACATAATACTTTAGGTCAATGTACGTTTTTCCGCCTGCCCTAGAAACATACTATAGTAAGCGTGTCACTAAGAAAGTAAACAGTATGCAAAAAATTGAGAAACGAAAACGTGAATTGAATCACATACACAGGAACGCCCGTAAGAATAGTTGTTGCCCATAAATCACATTCAATTTGGGATAAGTTCAAATAAAAGTAGAAGCCTTATTTACTCGTATTTTCAAAAAATGTAATATCGGTATATAAACATTTATTTATTTGAACTTCAATGTAAAATTTGGCTACTCTTTGAAAAATTACCCTATATACGTAAAAAGAAGATAGAAAAAAGTTATCCCTTAATAATCCGTTTATTATTCTTCTTGTGTTGTCTATGGCACGACTGCGGAGGATTAAGGATTTTATGGTCTGTAATCGTTCTCAAAGTTGTAAGTGTAATGTAGTCGAGATACAATTTAGAAGATATAATTTAGAAGCAGCATAGAGACAGCAATGATAACATGAAGTAGTTAAACTATGTCAGTGTTAGCAACCATCGGCTACCGTTTACTCTGTAAATACCATTTACAACTACGGTTATTTGTTGTGTACGATTCTGTTGTTAACCTATGTAATAATATTGGATATTAAATAAGGAAAATAATTATTGGTCGCAATATCCAAGTCAGGTAACAGCAAATATGTGTTTCATTCATTAAAGTTAATGTAATGTATAATTTATACTTGAGATTGTTGTCATTTAAGGTTTATGTTAGGATATTATTCGAAATGAATGTTGGATGGAATAGTATTTTTACACTGGCTGGCGGGTTGGTCTTATTTGTAGGTGCACATACACATTGGTTTAGCGAGCGCAAACTCGGAAGTAAAAAAATATTAATTATTGTCGAGTACCGTCACAACGGTAAGTAAACTGAGAAAGTTGTTCGCGGTGGTGTAAAAAAATAAATTGATGTGTCCTTTACCAAGCAGGAGAGTCTGCCCATCTTCATGAGTTAAAACATCTATATTATCATTATACGAGGGTGCGTTTTTAAGTTCGCGGAATGGGTAGGTAGGTAATAAGTGGAGACGTCGCTGAGTTACGTGCTAATTGAGCAACTCAATATTAGTATAAATACCGGGTTTTATTGTAATTAGATCACTAGTCTTTGAGTTATCGTCAACCAAACGAACAAGTCAATCGGGAATAAATTGTGAAATATAGAGAAAATCGAGTTCCGTGCCGTTATAAAGTTCCTTACCAAGCGCGGAAAATCAGTTCAGACTATACTGGAAGAGATGTCATCCGTTTACGGAGACTCTTGTCCAAGTAAAACTATGGTTTACAAGTGGCATACCCTATTTAAACAAGGCAGAGAGTCACTTGAAGACGACCAACAGCCAGGAAGGCCGATCGAGGTGACCACTTCGGAAATTATTCAAAAAGTCGAAAAATTAATATTAGAAGATGCCCGCCTAAAGAGAAACCAGCTAGCAGAAATGGTTGGAGTATCAGATACAACCATTTTCAAAATTCTTCATGACCATCTTGGCACGACTAAAGTCAGCGCAAGATGGGTGCCTAGAATGCTCACGCCGCCTCAAAAGCAACAGCGTGTGGAGTGTTCTCGTGCATTTTTGGACCTCTGTATGGAAGACAAAGATAGAGTGTTGGCTCGAATTGTTACTGGTGACGAAACTTCACCATTATGAACCTGAGTCCAAACAGGACTCTATGCAGTGGCACAAAAAGGCACACCACCACCCAAGAAATTTAAGGTGGCACAATCGGCTGGGAAAATCATGGCGACAGTCTTTTGGTACTCAGAAGGAATTCTATTGATTAATTATAAAGTTGTCTCCATAACCGGAAATTACTACGCTTCAATCCTAGAACAATTGAAGGAAGCCGTAAAGGAGAAAAGAAGAGGAAAATTGACCAAAGGGATCCTTCTTCTGCACGACAACGCGCCTGTTCACAAGTGCCATGTTGGGATGGCTGCCTTGCAGAAGGTGGGCTTCGAAATTTTGCCACACCCACCCTATAGTCCTGACCTGGCCCCCAGTGATTATTATCTATTTACAAACTTAAAAAAGAACTTCGTGGGAAATCGTTTTAAGTGATGAAGAAGTAAAGGAAGCAGTTTCGGCGTATTTTTTAGACAAAGACAAATAATTTTTTTTTGAGGCTATACATTAGTTATTTGAAAGATTCGAAAAATGTATTAGGGTAGCAGGTGAATATATTGAAAAGGAAAAATAAATTAGGATTTTTATTCCCACTCATTACCCCCCATTCCGCGACCTTAAAAACGCACCCTCGTACTATCAGATGAAACCGTTCCGTGTTAAGAAATAAATAAAAATTTACTGTGAAATAAACCTAATATTTTATTCATAGTAAATTTATTTAATATCAATCGGTATAACGGTACTCGGTTATTTAACAGACTTCTAAAAAGAGGGTGGTTCATACACGACATTTTTTAAAATAACATGTTACACAATATCTCGTAAAACATTAGATAATCAACTTTGCTGTTTTCGAAAGAGTATATTTTTGCTATATATTCCTTACGAGGACAGCAGCAGATCTGATGATT